AATCAGCCAGGTGAGAGGGCACTGGCTCCACAGGTGACCAGGTGCAGTGTCTTTCTCCAGCCACAACCCTCCACCCAGCCTGGGACGCTGGCTCCCACTCTACATTCCCAGTCGGCTTCCCAGTCTACAAGCACCGAACCACGGACAGAGTCGCAGGGGCAGTGACGCTCGTAACACTCATCTACTCTGAAGGGAAAACACCGGTCCTGACCCTTGACCTCTGACCACCTAACTCTGAACTCTGACTCCTCTCCTGAACTGTAACCCCTGCGGCTCACCTCGGCCCTATACTCAACACTGAACCTCTAGTGCTGACACCGGGATCGAGACCCTGGTCCCTTATCCCGAGTCCTGCTCTCTGACCTCTGGCCCCTGACCTCTAGGTGGCGTTTATAAAGAAAACAAGCACAATGTTTCGGCTGTGGAGCTTCCTCAGACTCTCTTTACCTTCCGGCCTGGAACGAGCCCTTCCCTGCTCCGTGGTGACAGAAATTGCCCTACTGTATATCCACAGCAGCTGCCAGTGTCCCATGAGAAAGAACAGGGAAAGCACGCGCAGAGCTGCACTGCGGGAGTCGGGGTATTACCCTCAGACACACGGGCACACACTCACAGGCGCAAAGCCGAGGCAACTGCGAGGCGTCTGTGCCCTTGAACAAGGTTCGGGTTTAGGTGGATGACAGATGGACTGCCCGACCAATGACAGCAAGGCCTGCATCTGCTTTTGTCTGCCTGACCAGCCAACCAGACGGCTCGAAGGGGCTGCCTGCCCCTCCCCTGGGGCTCGTGTGGGCGGAGCAGAGACCGATCCCCGCCCACTGGCGTTTCAGGTGTCAGTGTCAGAAACAGGACAACATGCAGAGGGACTTCATTAAAGAGCTTTATTGTTCCTTCAGTCATTTCCCCAGCCAAGGAAGTCACTGTAGCTTTCCTTCCTTTGTCTAGCTCAAGGAGAGAGAGGGGAGAGAGAGAGGAGAGAGAGGAGATAGGAAGAGAGGGGAGAGAGGGGAGAGAGGGGAGAGAGGGAGGGAAGAGGAGAGAGGGTAGTGAGGGAGATAGGGAAGAGGAGAGAGAGGAGAGAGAGGAGATAGGGGAGAGAGGGGAGGAGGGGGAGAGGAAAGAGATAGGAGATAGGGAGAGTGGAGAGAGTGGAGAGAGAGGGGAGAGAGGAGATAGGGGAGAGAGGGGAGAGAGGGGAGAGAGGGAGATAGGGAAGAGAAGAGAGGGGAGAGAGGGGAGAGAGGGAGATAGGGAAGAGGAGAGAGGGAGAGAGGTGGGCTCAGTTGGCAGCCATGGTGCTGGTGATCCAGGACAGCAGGCTGCAGATCTTGGTGTAGACGCCAGGGTA